TTAATATCAATTTTATTGATCTTTCAAATAACCAACTTTTGGTTTTCTTGTTTTTCACTACTATTTTACTATTTTATGTATCAATCACTTCTGTTCTAACTTTTATTACTCCCTTTCTTCTACTTACTTTGGATTTAATTTTCTTTATAACATTTCCTAAGGCAGAAGCTTTGATTAGTGATTTTAGAACTTTCTTCTTTTTAAATATATATAGTCAATACTATAACTTTTCCTGTATGTAATCCTTTCACTGTAACCATCAAATTTTGATGTTACATTTTCATTTGCTTAAAATAGTTCTTAATTTCTTGAGACTTGTTATTTGACCAATTTATTATTTAGAAGCAATTTATTTGTTATTCAAACATTTTTAGATTTTCTAGCTTCCTTTTATTGATTTCTAGTTTAATTCACTGTGATTTGACATGATACTTTGTATAATATCTGTTTAAAAATGTTTAAGTTCTATTTTATGGTACAGAATGTAGTCAGTTGGAGAAGAATGTGTACTCTGTAGTTCTTGAATGAGGTACTTTATAAATATCAATTAGCTCCAGTTATAGATGGTGCTATCCAATTCAACTATGTCATTACTGATTTTCTGTCTGTTGGATCTGTGTCTAGAGGTAGTTTTTTTTTTTTTTTTTTTTTTTTTGCATATGGATTGTGATGTCCAGTGGTTCCAGTATATTTTGTTGAAATGACTATACTTTCTTCATTGAACTGTCTATGCTACTTTGTCAAAGATCAGCTGACTGTTGTTGCTTTTAGGTGCCATCGAGTCGCTACCATCTCAAAGTGACCCTTTGCACAACAGAACTAAACACTGCCTGGTCCTACACCAATCTCACAATCATTACTACACTTGAGCCCATTGCTGCTGCCAATGAGTCAATCCATCTCATTGGGGGGTCTTCCTCTTTTTCGCTGACCCTGCATGATATCCTACACCAGGGACTGGTCTATCTTGATAATATGTCCAAAATATGAGATGAAGTTTGGCCATCTGGCTTCTAAGGAGCATTCTGGCTATACTTCTTCCAACACAGACTTCTTCACTTTTCTGGCGGTTCACGGTATTTTTAATATTCTCCTCCAAAACCGTAATTCAAATGCATCAATTCTTCTACAATCTTCCCTATTCATTGTCTAACTTTCACATGCATATGAAGCTATTGAAAATACCATGGTTTGGGTTAGGTGCACCTTAGTCCTCAACTGACATCTTTGTTCTTGAACACCTTAAAGAGGTATTGTGCAGATCTGTCTAATGCAACACATCATTTCAATTTCTTGACTGCTGCTTCTTGATGGCATTTTGATCCAAGCAAAATGAGGTTTTCTTTGACAATCTAAAAAATGTCTCCATTTATCTAGAAGTTAATTATTGGTCCAGTTGTGAAGATTTTTGTTTTCTTTACATTGAGGTTCAACTTATACAGAAGGTTGTGGACACTGATCTTTATCAGTAAGTATTTGAAATCCTCTTTGCTTTTAGCAAGCAAAGCTGTATCACCTGCATATCGCAAGCTGTTTCTCCAATCCTGATGCCACGTTCTTCTTCATATAATTTAGCTTCTTGAATTATTTGTTCAGCATATAGTTTGAATAAGTGTGGTGAAAGAGAACAACCCAGACACACACTTTTCCTGATTTTGAACCATTCAATGTCCCCTTGTTCTGTTTGAACACTTGCCTCTTGGTCAATGTTCAAGTTCCTCATGAGCACAATTAAGTGTTTCAAAATACTCATTCTTTGCAATGTTGTCCACAATTTGTCATGATCACACAATTGAAAGCCTTTTGATAGTCAATAAAGCACAGGTAAACATCTTTCTGGTATTCTCTGCTTTCAGCCAAAATCCATCTTATGTAAGCAATGACATCCTTCATTCCATGGATTGAAAGAGTCTTTGGGCAAAATATTGAATGATGCAGAAAGCATCAAAAGAAGATGGAAGGAATAAACACGAGTCACCAAAACATAATAGTCAATGTTTAACCATTTCAAGAGGTAGCATATGAACAAGAGCCAATGATCCCTGAAGGAATTAGTCCAAGGTGTACTGAAGGCATTGGCAAAGAACAAGGCTCTAGGAATTTATGGAATACAAACTGAAATCGTTCAACAAATTGATGCAGCACTGGAGGCACTCACTCATGTATGTCAAGAAATTTAAAAGACAACCATCAGTCCAACTGACTGGAAGAGATCCATATTTGTGCCTGTTCCAAAGGGAGGTGACCCAACGGAATGCATAAATCACAGGACAATATCATTAATATCTCATGCAAGTAAAATTTTGCCAAAGATAATTCAAAAACAGCTGCAGCAGTACATTAACAGGAAGCTACCAAAAGTTCAGGCTGGATTCAGATAGGTCTTATTTTGGCTCTTGTAGACTTGTATTAATTTTCTTGAGCTGCAGTCTGAAATTGCATATAAGCAATTGATGGTGTGTTCCATAGTCTGCTCATGGCCTTGTTTTAGCAGATGACATGGAATTTTTCCACCGTTTCTTTCCACAAATGTAGTAAATTTGATTTATTTGTATTCCATTTGGTGAGGTCCATGTGTATTGTTGTCTTTTATGTTGTTTAAAAAGGGTATTTTCAATGAACAAGTCATTGGTCTTACAAAACTCTATCAGGTGATCTCCAGCATTGGTTCTATCACTAAGGCCATATTTTTCAACCACTGATCCTTCCTCTTTCTTTCTGACCTGTGCATTTTAATCACCAATAATTATCAATACATTTTGATTGCATGTTTGATCAATTTCAGACTGATGTTGTTAGTAAAATTCTTCAATTTCATCATTCCCTGGCTTTAGTAGTTAGTGTGCAAATTTGAATAATAGTGGTAGGAGTATGAATATTATCCTATCATAGACAACACTGCACTTCAAGACTTATCTTGACATGTTCTTTTTGATGATGAATGTGACGCCATTCCTGTTCAATTAGTCATTTCCAGCATAGTAAACCATGTGATTGTCAGATTCAAAATGGCCAACAGTAGTCCATTTCAGCTCATGAATGCCTAGGTTATTGATGTTTATACATTTCATTTCATTTTTTGATTAATTTCCAATTTTTCAAGATTCATACTTGGTAATTCCATGGTCTTAATTATTAATGGATATTTACAGCTACTGACTATGTGGGTCTATTTCTGGGCCCTCTATTCTGTTCCAAACTCTTTATTGTTGGCAATTCTGTTAGGTCAAACTAAGAATCTGTATTATTACTATACAGCTATACATCTCTTCCTCTGGGAGAACTCCAGAGTTGGTGGTTGAGACAGCAGCCTCTGGCTTGCCTCTATCCTATAAGTAAGCTAAGAAAAGGGCAATTGGAACCCAGTATCCTTGACTTGCCTGCCATTTCTAGGGCAAAACTTCTATATGAGTGAGGGCTGGGTGGATGAAGGGAGCCCCAGGCTCTCAGCTGTTCTTGCCTTGTACAAAGATTCTGAAACATAGAGTTGGGGAAATGAAAAATGCTGGTGGCCTGCCTCTCTCAGCACTATATCAAGTACTATAATTCAGCTAACATCATGCTGAGTTGAGTGGTAGCAGCTGGGTGAGGAGTTGGGAGAGCAGATAATGGCTCAAATACCAAAGACCATCATGGTCCTAAATGAGATTTAGTAAATTTTCTTGAGTATTTTCCCACATGCTGATATTGTTAGGATAGTTTCCAGATACTTTTTTTTTTTTTTAATTTAAGGTTTTTATTGTGGATTGAGTGAAAGTTTACAGGGCGCAACATCCAGATACTTTTAACAGTTTTATTTTTTAAAAGAATTTTCAACAGTTATGGTTCTTTTACTGGGTGAGCATCTGTGAAGTCCCTCATGCCACCGTTCCAGAAATCAACTCTTCCTGTATAACTTTTTGTATAAAAGCTGCCTAATAGAAAATATATTATGATTTGTAATGTTTTACAAGGCTGAAACAAAGTTGACTTCTTTTATATCACACAGCTTCTCTCAAATGCTTTAAGAAACATAAACCTGTGGCAGAGACTGCTAATTGTACTCCAATCTTATTCTCCCCTTCTTAATGTTAGCCATACAAAGTCCAAGGTTCAGTTGTATACATGCCTGACAAACTAGAGAAAACATTTCCAACTTCCTTTATAGCAAGGTGTGACATGGGATAAAATCCCATATGAAACACAGAGCAGAAGCAATTTATATACTAGATCATGCACTTAAAAGGCATGAGTTTCCTTTCCCTCTTCCCATTTCCACTGGGTAGAATGTAATAACAGGAGCTGGAGCAGTCAAATTTGATATGATAGAGAAGAAAACGTGGGAGATGGCAGAGTAACAACAGAGAAAGAACCTAGTTCCCTGTCACCATTACGTTTCCATATCAGTCCTGGAATGAGTACCTAATCTTTTAAAATAAATAAAATTCTAGTCTTATTTGTCACTATATTTTTGTCTCTGTTATAGCTGCCTGGGCCATTTCCTAGGTCATACAAAATTGCTAACTAATACCATACTGTACCATGGGTTTACAGGAATACATTTGATGTGAATAACATAGATGTTCATGTAATTATCAATACTGTCAAATTTTAAAGTGATGAATACTGAAATTTTGGATATAAGTAATTTTTCACTGTAGACTTTTATGCTTTGTGTTCCAGGTCATGCAGAAACACCCAATTTTTCAATGTAACTAAAGTTCTTTACCTCCATTTGATTGTCATTATCACTGACACAACTATTATTATCTATGGACTCCTAGTGTGATGCTGTAGGACAAGCACTGGACTTCTAACCACAGGGTTGGTGGTCCAAACCTACTCACTGCTCCTTGGAAACCCAATATAGAATTGCTATGAATTGCTAAGTGGTGGCACTTAACAACAATAATGAAAAGAAGCACCACTGGAGTTTTCAAAATATGTTATATAAAAACAGCAAGGAATGAAGTAACAACATTCTTATAAAAATTAATGAAGACCGTTAATAAAGTTCATACCAGTATGATTGTAGACAACATCAGTAATACAAAGAACATTCCATTCCTTTTTCATTTTTTCTACTAGCTGCCCAACATCATTCCAGGTATATTTTTTATTAGGTCTTGAAAAGTCAGGATTTAATTCTAACTGATTAGCCAGAGAGTAGCATGATCTAGAAAGTCCAAGAGTCTGCAATGGTGTAAAATGAATCATGTTGTAACCTGCAAAGAAAAAAAAAACACAGACAATGACCACTATAAGAAAGTAAGAAAACAAAACTAAAACTAAGAAAAATATAAAATTAAACTTTCTTAAATAATTCTTTAGTAGTAAAGTAAGTAAATTGTTGGAAAAGGAATCAAAGACTTGGGTTCAAATTCTAGCTGTACCACAAGTGACTTAAATCAAATCTACTTAAATCTTTCAGGACCATCAGTGCCTTCATATAAAAGACAGCCATCAGTGCCTTCATATAAAAGACAGGATAATTTGAAAATGACATATATAGTACCTAGCTTGTATTACAGGTTCAGTTTATGAATGCATTTTTTAATTTGCTAGATGGATACATTTACATTTAGAAAATATTCCCTATGCAACTCTATCAGTGAGTGTTCTCTCCCACTTTGTGATGTTCTACAATACTTGAATCCTGTCTGCAGTTATGTCAGTCAACTCTTCATTCCTTTTTTATGCTACTATATATTCAAACTTCACAGCAGAAACTTAATAACGCCCTTTACTAAAGAGTTAAATACATCTTCAGTTGCATTTATTTATGATATACATGTCAGCAAAAATAACTTCCAAGTGGAAGACAGTTAATTAATATTTGCTGAATTAAAATTAATTTAGTGATGCATTTCCATCACACTTTAAATAGTATACTACTAATCTTTATGTGTCAAACTCTTAAAAAAGATATTTACCATGCAGTTCCCTAATTTAAATTGGACCATACTCTTCTATTTTTATAAGTTAAAAAGAGTCAAGGATCAGTAATTAAATATTGTTCAATCTATACATATTGCTAAATATGCTAAAGAAAAAATGAAAGTAGAATCAAAGCCTTTCAAATCTGTACCACAGAGGATAATTTCATTCATTTTTTTAAAAGTAAAATATAAAGAAAGCTGATATTACCTGATTCTTTAGCAACCCTAAGTCTGCTTTCCCATTCATCAAAGGGACCCAAACACTTAGCTAAAAATGTCTGCAGAGTAACACAGTCCAAAGGTAGCATGTGATTATCAGTTCCAACATGTAAAATAGGATCCACAACTATAAAACCGCCACCACTCTTCTCATTTCTAGGGGATAAGACAAACCAAAATCTTTTCATTTAATGACAAGGAAAAGAAATCCTTACCCAACAGTTTCACCCTGTATGGAAAGATTAACTGCTCCAATAAAATAGACTATTTATTTCTAATCATAATGACAATTGTGAGAAGTGTGCAAGACCAGGCAATGTTTCCTTCTTTATAGGGTCACTGAGCTGGAACCGATTCAACAGCACCTAACAACAACAAATCATATTAAAATCATTTTTTAAAGACTGGAACAAAATTTAATAGGAAAGTCACTTTTTACCCTTTCTCAATCTATATATAATTGATGAATTAAATATATGTAACATCTAAAATGTTCATTTAATGAAAAAATAAGTGCCCTAAAATCTATAAGTAGGTAATGTGTTGTTGTTAAGTGCCATAGAATTGGTTCTGACTCATAGCAGCCCTATACAGGGTTTCTGAGGAGCAGCTGGTGAGTTTGAACTGCCAATCTTGTAGTTAGCATCCAGTTCTTAGGGCACCCAAATAAAGAGCATCCTATAACCAAGTTACATAAAAACATGATTTAAATTGCTACTTTAAAAAATATTGATATTAATACTTTGAATTTGTAATGTGCCAAATGATTATCTCTTAGGACATTATTGAACATTTTACAGAGAATTCATTGAAACTGAAGAACCATATCCTATTTTCATGTCAAGAAAGTCCTGTAAACATTATATGGTCATGTTTCATATAGTAACTCTTTACACATTACGCAACAAATTTAGATTTTAGAATAAATTAAACTTTAATATGACTTACCCTTGAAGGAAGTAATACTGAAATGATCCAGACTGTTGAAGATTAACTTTACAGTATTTATCAGAATCATCTTCTCTTTCTATTGGATTTTCCCATTGCAGGGAGCGGAATTTTTCTCGATTGAACACTTCTCCAGGAAATGGGTAATTTGTATACACAGTTACAGCTTTCCCTTGTAAAGTTGGACCTAATCGGAACTGCAGTTCATATCCTAAACAAAAGTGGTATTTCAATAAGCTCAATGAAGGACTTAAATTATCATATAAAAAGGTTTCATTTAAATTATTTAAAAAACTATGATTTTCTACTATGTTTAAAATAATATCAAAGACCTGAAACTGTTTTACAAATTTAGCAGAATATCTATTTCAAAAAAGTATAGTAAAACCTCACAGAACTACTCTGGACTGTCCCAGTCCTCTTTCCCTAGAAAGTGATTGTTCCACACATACCTTGAATTGAATGCTCAGAGGTGGGACAAGGAATCTTTTCTAGAATTTTTCAAATTACAACAAAGTGAATTTGTCCAGAGTTTCAGAGATGATAGTATATAAAATGTCAAAAGTATTAAAGGACACCTGTCTGGCCATACAGAGAAAGCTAGTCTGCAGTAAGAAAAGTTAGCCTCTAGTGAGAGAGAATTGATCATTTTTACAAGAATTCGGAGGCATTTTAGCTTCTGATTTCAGTTGTTTCTGCTACTCCTCAAACTCAGTAGTGTGTTGATATATACTAAACAATTTTGTAGGGTTCACTAATTACTGGTGTAAACAATATCACCTGGTCAACTTCAAACTATGAATGTGCCATCACTCACAGTGTGGAATGGGGATGAAAGGTGACCCAGCAGCCTTTATAAGTCATTGCAAGCAGAACTTTTTGTCAATATTCCTATACTTCATGTTTTAATTAGGAAACCTTTCTTGGAGAGCCAAAATATTCCCATTTTTGTCACACTTAGGTTATTTCTATTAACATACATATAAGATTTATATATTGTGTCACCAGGATGGAGAAAATATGAACACATTAGCAATAAAACTTAATTGTGATAGAAATTTTGGTTGGCTGGAGGTAGATTTTAAGCCTGAATTATAAATACATGAATATAAAAATTCTGATGATAATTCAGCCTATTAGAAATATGTTGTTTTTGTTGTTGTCAGGTGCCATCGAGTCGGAACCGACTCATAGCGACCCCATGCACAGCAGAACGAAACAATGTCCGATCCTGGGCCAACCCC